CTCTGTCTTCCTCTCCCCATGCCTTTCTATTGTCGCATCTCTAGCCCTATCACTCTAGCTCTCACTATGTCTCTCTAGCCTTGTGTTCTATCTCTCTGTCTGTTGCTCCAAGTCTCTTTCTCTCTCCTATTTCTCACAATCTACCTTTTCAAATTTTTTCACTGCTCATGTCTCTTATAGAATATTCTCTCGTTAGTCTCTCTTGACGTCTTTCCTTTCTGTCTCTCCTCTTGGTTCTCTCCCTCACTCGTTCCTCCTCTTGTCTTTCTTCTCACGCGTCACCCTGTGTGTCCATCTATATCCCCGTGTCTCTCCGCACGTTGTCGATTATAGTTGCTTATTTATTTACTTTATAGAGGTCATAAATTGTAGCCTTACTTGTTTCATAAACAGCATTATAGAAAATCATGTTGATAAAACATTACAATCTAAAATGACATGAATTAACAAAAGGTACATGCGTTATTTGTATTTACTAATATCAAAGCATTTTTTAAAATATATAAAATCACCACTTAAAAACTGCCCAAAAGGATATTGTTCTTTGGAAGCACAGACAAAACCATGTTCGCTTCTACAACTGTGTTTTAAAGTTGTTTCTCATTCTGTTTGGCATTTTGCATTGATGAACGTTTCACCCAATGAGCAAATTCAGGAACTGCATTCTTCCATGCTACAAATTTATATTATTGATATAGCAATGTTCCAGCCTATTTTAATTATATATTGAATCAAAAACAGTGCAAAATCACGTACATAAATACATCCAATGAAAATGTATCTTTGTTACTTGGTTCATAACCAATGTAGCGGCAGGGTGGTCAAGTGCTAAAACTATGCAAATACATTTGCAAATACACAAAGGTAAAAAGAATTCCTATTTAGAAACATTCTCTTGTGCCCTGCCAATAATTGTTTGATGAGTTTTGAGTAAAGGTTTGCAGAGGGGAATGAGGGGACAGGGGAGGAAAATAAATATCTATACACTCACAAAAACACGTATTGAGCTCATAAAAGGGTATGAGCAACAGTCTGAATAGTATTATTATCATCAGCTGGTACGACTGAATATCACTTGATATATCTTACGTATTTAACTTGGAGGTCAATTGTTTATTTTGCAAGGACACTGCAGCCATAGGAATACAGTGGTCGTCATTACTACAGCACTGTTACTATTTAACAAATTGGAGCAGTGCCATTTCACATTTAGGATATTGGGTCCTGACACTGGCACACATGGCCTAGTTGTACAAATGATGTCAAAAGGTCTTTAATGTCTATTTTACGGAGGCTAGGATGTGTTAGTAAATCTGTACAGAAATTATTTGCAGCCCCAGGCATGGAACTGTCACCACCATACACATATTCTGAGTGGCAAACACACTTGCCGCTAACCTTTATCCAGCTACCCATGTGATGACCACGGTGTAATATAAGGTGTGAGCACATTCTTTTCGGCCTTTGTAATAGGTGATATTCTCAGCGTGACGAATGGCATCATAGATATTGATCACTTTCCAATGCTTAAGAAATTGTGCACTTCGTGTATGATGGACTGACAAGAACGAGAGCAAGGCTACTGTACACGCCATCCTGCTGAACGAGTCCACTAAAATCCAGCTGGCTAACATATTCATTCTACTCAATCTTTCTATGTTGTACTCGCATAGAGTTTCGACAAACAGGCCTAACACGCTCAAAGGGAAATGTATTTGATTAATTTATTATTTACTGAACCCGCAACACGAACACAACAGAGGGTCAACAAACTCATGGCGCAGTGAACATGTGAATGGAAGCCGGGCTCTCTGAGCGATTCTCCCCTAATTGGGGCCAGGTTTAAAGTTCACCGGGTTCTCTTCCCTACAAACAGTAGGGTCGAAGATCAGGAGAGGAAGATTAGAGGAGGGGGGTGCGGATGGGGGTGGGAGGGGGGATAAATAACCAAATAGAGCAAATAAAACAAGAAAAATAACAAGCACAGTGCCCGGTTCTGCCTTTTTTGTTCGTGGGAACAACAATCACTCAGAATGTGATAGTCGTAGCATAGTGTTTATGGCCCGGTCCTCCACTTCGCACTCACCACTCATTCTTTCCTCCTGTCGTTCTGGTATTGCTTATTATGCGGGGTTCCCAAGGAAATGGGGGGGGGGGGGGGAATATCGTGTCCTCCTATTCTCGTTATTTTCCCTTCAGCTTGTAGCTAAGGTGCTCCGTCGCTTCCAAGACAGTACAGGGATCTATGCCAAGGTATCCAGATTTATTTTCCTTACTCTTAGGTTTTTTCGGTAAAGTCACGTAGGTAAAAAATGAAATTACTAAAAGTAATAATAGAAATAAAATAAAATAATAAATCACGACGTTTCGGAGGCAACACAAGTTTCCGTCATCAGGTGGGACCGTCACAGCTAAAATTACTGCATTAAGTGAGGCAAAATTCCAAGAGACCAGCCCTTAAATACAAGTTAAGGGGGGAGGGGCTTATCTGAATGTGGTAACCAGGGAATGGCACGTGGGGGTGGTGGGCGGGGCTACAAGAGAAATTGGCCAACGTCGTCAATGTGCAAGAGAACAATCGGTGTACCTCGACCTAAACCGGTGTGGGTTGAGAATCCAAATACAAAAAAGCAGTAGGTGTTAAACGCTGGGGATGTCAACACTCGGTAAAGTAGAATAGTACCTGGCAAATAAGATGGTACAAATATGTGTAGTTAAATATTTTTTGCGTGGTTAATAACATCTTTCCAATGATTACTCAGTTTGTACCCATCATCACGGTTGAAGTTATGTCTGTGTTTGTAAATCTGGATGGCTTCGTGTACAAACCTTTCATGGTAGCCAGAGGGTTTGCAGAGCAGCTTGGTCTCAGAAAAAAACAATATTATGAGAGCCTACAGCGTTGTAGCAATGATCGGAAACGGCGGAAGACTCAATTTTGCCGTGTTTCAGATGTGACTTGTGCTCGCGGACACGATCAGAGACATGATGTTTCGTTTCCCCAATGTAACAATCACTACAGCTGCAACTCAGTTCCATCTGTGAAAGAATTCCATCTGTGAAGAATGTCATCCCTAACTTGCAATACCCTGGAGTCTATAAACTGAGTTGCAAGGGATGTCTTGTCCTAGAAACTTTTTCCACACTTTCTTGATTTTTTGTCTAATATGTCGGGAAGATAATACGTGTTCGCCAATGTGTACTTCTCCTTTTCCCTCTACCAGCCAGTCCATAACGGGCTGAGTGATGTGGGCAAAGTTCTTGTTTGGGGCTTTGGCAACGGCGTCCCTAACGTGTAGATACTTGTAGAAGTGCGACTGCGGGATATCATGTCATGCCAGTATCTGCTTGAAAAAAAAGAGCCCATTTTCCCTTTCTTGGTAAGCATGTCCCCCTGTCTTTTCCATATCGGTTGCTTTCCATGCAGGCCAATTCATTCCCGTGCCCTCTATTTTTAAATCCTTTATATTAAGTTCACTTGCTTGCTTGCACGCTTACGACCGTGCAAATCTTTCGGTCGTTTTTTAACCCACTTCCCGTGGTCCAATCGAGCTGACATTTTGCACACAGACTCGTTGTGCGTGACAATTTATTTTCGTGAATTTCTTTTTCCTAAATTTTACACTTTTTAGGAAAAAATAAATTATATTTAGTAACCCACGGGTTAATTTTTTAGGGATGGGTTTGCCCTCAGAGAGGATTGTCTATGCAAGGAGGGGGAGACTTTCAACTCCCAGGATGGTGGAAACGGTCCAGTGGGGCAAAACAAACAATCCTAGCAAGTGACCTAGGAGCTAACCGAGCCTACTTCCCCTAATCCCCCTCTTTTCCGGGTTTATTCAGTGTTTGAAGTTTAAGTCTAGTTTATTTTATTTATTGTACGGATGATCCAGTTGAGACCAGGTGTCCAGCTATTGTACATGGGAGATCCGTGTTGCGTGAGCACAGTGGCAACAAAGGCAAAGGATCAATATTGCAGTAAACGAGTAGAGGGTCCTAAAGGAATATTGCACCACTAACATATGAGGTACCTAACTGTCATAAGTGAAACACATGCAAATACAAAATCATTGCAAATGTATTTTGAATGCAAGAAGTGCCATAAAAAGTTAGGTACAGGTGCAAGTACCCCCTATGTTTTGGTTTAATAGGGAAGTAAAGCGGTGGTGTGAGGGAGGGAACAAATATGTAGATGAGCAGCAACGTGGACATACCTTTTACCAAAGATTTGTCAAATAGGATATTTAGTATTAATAAGGAGGCACTTCTGAGGCTACGGGAGGGAGTTCGAGGAACTAAGTGGTCCTTCAGGTAATTAGCGGGATTTGTTTAAGAATACCTTTAGGATGAAGACAGCAAAGTGATGATGGTCTCTCCAGATATCTAGGGGGACATTTTTGAGTACATTTACAGGTTTCAATGATGAGGTCCGTAGGAGGTGACAAAAGGGCAAAACGCAGAGTGGATTAGTAAAATGGAGTGAGACGTTTTAAGGTAGATTAAAAAGCTAGGCGTTGTCACAGTAATAAAATATGGGCGAGATGGTGGATTTAACTATATAAAGATGGAGTCGATGTGGAATACGGTGTTTGCTTCTGTAAAATAATAAAACTTTTTTTTTATTGTTGGCCATGTGGTCAATGTGGGTCTTGAAAGAAGGCATTTTCAAGCCCTGTATAATGCCTCGATATTTAAAGTTGACAAGCTGCTCAATCAGGTGTGAGTCCGGAGCCACAGTGTGGATAGGTGGCGAGACAAGTTTGGGCCAGATAATAACATAACTTTTTAGCTGTTCAGGGCCAGGTTTTAGGGCATTATGAAGTTGAAAAATATCAAAGTCCTGCTAAAGTCACTGCGTTTGCTTGAAAATGTAAAACAAAGTAAATTTGTTTGTTTGAAACTCATGGATTGTCAGCCTGCCATATCTTTCTGTTGTAAAGGGCTTCATCTCTCAATATACGCATTCCACATGCACGAATTTAACTTGTCACTTTTCTTACCTTCAGCAGTGCGGTGTGTGGGAAGTCTTCAAAGGAGAGGTGGGATTCCTCTCCCGTGTGTCCAGCCATCTGACCCTTGAGGATGCGGGCTGCGCTGACTGTGGAAAGGCTCATGCCGTCCCCTATGAACAGGATGATATTCTTTGCTGTCCTCACAATCGGTTGGGTCAGGAGGGCTTGGTTTAAGGCTGTGATGCCGATTTGCTGCCAATACGCTGCATCCTCCACCACTGTAATTATAATAACAATGTCACTCGCATGTACATTGCACCTGTTAGAGAATTAAATGTTTTGAAGGCGCAAAGTTTTTTGTTGTTGCCGAGGGGACCCACTTATGGTAATTTGTCCCTGTATGTAACAAGATAAATAAGGCACTTGACCGCAAGTGGGAAATTGTCTGTAAGCAGGGGACGAATGTTGCTACCGGTTACTCCAATTAAGGAGTTTCCACCGCTGGCGAACAGCTATATGAATGTACATTGAACTTATATCGCGCCGCATGTGGCCAGCCGCACTAATCGTAGCCAACCCCTGTAAAGAGGACAAGAGCGCCTCCTCAATGCTCAGTTGAGCGGGAAATCATCGTCATCATGACTTTACACTCTTTGACGCAATATGATGGTGTTTGCTAGACCACAACTGACCCTCATTACCTCACCAGTGCCAACGTTGGTCACACCATACCAGGCCACCCAATGGAATACTTGAAAAAAGTTCAGATACCAATTTCCACTGGTATTGTGCACGGCCTGGAATCGAACTACTATCGATTTATCTTTTGCAGTCAGTAAATGGTCAACATTTTCACAAACTATTAACAAGCACAATATCAACAGGCACCGAGGCGTTCACTGTTTACGTTGTGGAAATATCCACTTGATATTGTGGCGCATAACAAGCTTCCAATCAATAAAGCAATTGATTGTCAGAATTAAATATAGTCGCCTGAATAGAGTGTCAAAATGTCATTGACTTTACAGAGCTGTGGTGACCAGAGGCCAGTGAGGCAGGGCCCCGCTCGAAAAAAAATAATGTAAAAGAAAAAAAAGACAATTATTATTACCTGCTCATTATAAAGATTTCCAATTGCATCCACAGCACTCCACCCACCTCCTTCCTCCACTCCCACAAACCACCAATGGTCATGGGCGCCACGGTGGCGAGATATTAACTTCCTTGTCTGGTATGCAGGTCATGGGTTTGATTCAGACCCTGATGCCTGCATATTTGGAGTTTGCATGGATTTTTCTCCGCGTCCTCCGGTTTTTACCTCCACATTTAGAAACATGCTTTAAGAGTATTTGTCTGCTCTACATTTTCACGTGATAAGCCACTTCGTTGAGTTATTATGTGTGGTCAGGTTGCTTCTGAAAAAGAGCTATATAGCTCAGTGGGCCTTAACTGGTAAAATAGAAAGTAAAATGTATTATACCCAGGTCTTTCTTACAAATTTGATACTGAACCTTCCTAGGAAATTTCAGAGTTAAAATGAGCCTAGATTGTGGTTAGACAATTCCAGAACTATAATATAATGAATTGCTACGTTGAAACCATTTATGTGGGTAATAGATTGTGCATTAATCGTACCCGATGGGAGGCCGTGCCTCTGGTAGCACGCCGGCTCCAGGTCACCTTGGGGCTCCCAGCAGCATCCACTCGTGTGGCACTCAGCCTGCGTAAGGTTGGGGCCGCCCCCGCAGCCTGTGCGCACCGCGTCTGGATCCAGGGTGCACGCGCTCACCGCACCGGCAGAGAGCTCCTCCCCCAGGATCTCACCTGATGCTTCGATGGCCATGGCCCGGCTGCTGTCACGACCTCTGGACAGAGGGAAGGCATCTGTGTAGGGGTGGAAAGGACATAGAGGGTGCTTGGGTGCATTAAAGTGCCCGACCTGCTGAAACAAGATTGCCGTGGTTATGTTCTCCGTTGAACCAAGTCAAAGTGTGTTTTCAAACAAGCTTTTGGGTGGTGATAGTCTTCATTAGTGAACTGCCATAGGGTAATGGTTAGCGAAATGTATTTTCCATCCAGAGGTCTTTGGTTAAATAAAAACGTTTGGTGTAGCAGTTGAAACAATGGTGGAAGCTTCTTAAATCCTACCACCACCTCCCACCACCTCTGTCCACCCAGCAATATAAATGGGTTCAAAAGTTCGTCAATTTGTAGGTGGTGTATGGTGGGGTAAGGTGTGGGTACACCCACCTCTTCCAACATGTCTGGTCAACATGGAAGAGTAGCCCAGATACATTCTTGAGCTTCATGTGTATGTATATGTATGTTGAACTTATTTTGCACCGTATGTAGCCAACCATGCTAATCGAAGGTGCGGGGGAAGGATAACAAACTAAACACAAAAAACAGTTATAAATAAATAGATTTTCAATCTAGATTTAAAAGTGCATAGCTCCTTCGCGAGGTTTCTGTTCTCCTCCAATGTCAATCGGCATATTGGGCCGGGCGCCCGTTTTATCGCAATAAAATCACAAAAAAGTGCATAGCTCCAGTGGCTTCCTAAATTTGAAGGAAGAGCGTTCCAGACAGCTGCAGAAGCACATCTGAAAGCGTGTGATGCAGTGATCATTATTGTTCAAAGGCTGGGCAAAAGCCACTGCGAGGATGACCGGAGTTTGCGTGATTATTTATGCTCCTTGACGAGAAAATATAAGAATGTACGTCACATATAGTGGAGACCCTTTTGCAAGCAGTGGCATAAGCAAGCAATTGCAGAGCTGCACCTTTACTTTGTCTCCATTGGTGGCCCTGAAGGAGTGGTGGAAAATCCATGAGTCAGGGTGGCCCGCATCTCAGTTGCCAATCAAAATGTGCAGCCCCACATTGTTGTTTTGGTACTTAGCACATGGGTAACATTACTTATCATGTGTGTTTCAATGCAATATAAGAACTGTGTACATGGTGTAGCATGTAAAGATAAACACGGGGTAGGAAAAGACAGGTGGATGTATTGCTCACCGACAGCAATTGTACCTATGGTCTATCAGGCTAAATGGGGGGGATCTTGCATTTTTGTGTGTGCAGTTGGGCGAGTGTTTCGTGAGTGACATTCTGCAATCAAGACCCCAGTGACAGATTACCACAAAAGCAAACACTTTGGATGAGATGTCTCATACGTGCGTCACTTCAAAATGGCAAGCGAAGCTACACAGGTGTGAAATATGTCACCGTGAGTGTTCCATTTTCACGGAATACTGTGGCGCACATTATTATCTTCACATCATTTTTGAAAACTTTTATAAGCCAATGAAACATATAAAGGAACATTACACCTTACATTGAGACACGCGCTATGTGTGGGGGAAGGATTTGAACTCTTCTGTCTCTAGTACTCATATGCTGTGCAACCAATGCACAATGGTGACGTGCTCATAATCAAGGCTCGTAACAGACGGCACCATTTAAATAAAGTAATTTTTTCACCATTTACAAAACGGAATCGCTGTGTTTTCCTGTGCCTTTGTCAATCCACTGCCAGGAAAAGTCATCCCCGTGCCATTTAGCCACGGCACTTGTTTGACCATGCTTGGCCATGCTGGTCAATGCAGGTTGGTGAAGGAGGGGCCAGGACCAGTTCAGATGTTACTCCACTGATGTGAGCCGTGACCAGCTATCGAACTCAGGCTACGAGTTTCATACTGCAGTGTGCTAACCATTGCCTCACTGATCCACCACACCATTCCCATCAGGGTTATACATTATTAGTTATCCATTAAGTCAGTATTGGTAATGTTGGGGGATGGTTTAAATAGGTCGTGTTTTTTTATAGATGTATGTTTTGTAGGGCTGTCCAACTAAGGGTGAAAGTGTGCAGTGGTTATGTCCATCCATTTGTAAGCCTGCCTGTCCTTCCCATAACAGGGGGGCATAACTCTGATAAAGATGATCAAATAGTGTACCAAGATGTAGTATAAAGTTGTGCTCATATGAGGGGCTCACTCGATTTAAAACTGGCTAAAATTGATCAAAAAGTTTCCAAAAATGTGGAAACAAACCAAAGAAAAGAAAATTATTCGTGGATATGCAAATTAATGTTGCCCTGACAACTACACATGATCTTCCAAAGTGCATGATTTAAAAAAATGTATAATAAAGTGTATTTCCATATGAGAAGATAATCATTTTGTTACTCTTCTGACCATGGGATTAGAGAATGACCACCACTGGCTCAGGGCTGTCACTGGGACATTTAAAAAGGGGGGACTATTTAGTAATTATTTATTAATTGTGAAATGCGTGTGTGGTGAAACATTTAAATGTGTACACGAGTGCACATTCCACGATACATCATGCTCACATTACCTTTAAAAATGCACGATACAAAAAGGTAACAAATTGCCTGAGTTTATACCTCTTAATAAATTCAATATCCAGGGAAAAGCATATTGAAATTAGATATGCATTATTTATGGTTCAGTCGAACGTGATCAATATAGACCACCAGTGCCCAGCACAATGACCAGAATGTTCCTTGGAACACTGACCCCTGTGCACGGTAATGATGCTTTGTCAGCTGTTGCAGTGGAGATTTCATCAGTGCTTGGCATATTGACCGTTCTACTGAATATGCACAGCTGCTCTCAACGCACCTCCATAATACGCAGAGCGATAAGCTATCTTCAGCTCGAGGTCGTGTCCCTCATTTGATTTTGAACTCAGGATTAACGTGCATTTAAAAATATTTAACATTTTACGCATGTGGCGAATCACCAATGACAGTGCATAAAGGGACAGCACATAGTGATGGGTAATAGAGACCAATTGGAGTGAGTCGAGAAATAGTGTTGTTATGTAATTTCCCACCACAGTATCCTACATTAATACTCTGGTGACTGAGGCCCCACTAAGCGAACAATATTTGCTTTGACAATCTAATTTGTATGATCTGAAATTCTGCTAAGTACAACATTAATTTTTTTATGTTTAGAATAATCATATTGGCATGCTGATATTAACCGAGGTGTGGTCAAATTCCAAAAGTTGTAATTTACTTGGCCTCAGCAGCCCCAAAATACTCATGCAGCCGACAGGAACACGGTTATAATTGACGTTACAATGGCCTGTATGATTTACATAAGTTTCGTAGCAGCATTTCACATGATTGGTTAACTATTAACACAACATTTCCCCATGGGAAATCAAACGGCTCTGAAACTCAAGACATTATTAATCATGCAAAGTTATCCGTTGCAGATGGGCAACAACATATGATGGACTCAAATTAAAATCTTGTTGCTGTCCTGTTTACACAAGGACATTTATGAGTTAATGAACAGCACTTTGTAAACATGCTTACACCACAAGAGAGCAGGGCAATGGTTCAGTAAATATAGACTTGTCAAACACTCCATGCGAAAGCAGTGCTTAGGACTATAGCGCTAGTATATATTGTCAGCGTAATTGTGTCGCGTGACTTGATAATAATAAAGTCCTCCATTACCCACAAGCAGTCTTGGTTCAAACTGTTTCTATTCAGTAGGGCATCTCTGTAGTTAAAGTACCTCCCTGACTCAATTGTAAGGTCATACATTAAAATCTACATTAACCCAGTCAATATAATTTTCCATACAAACGGAGTAATACTTTATAAGAAGTCAACAGTAATGACTCTAAAGAAGGACTTGCTTCCACCATGGGAGTAAATAATTTACACGATGTCTTATTAGGCAGCCCACAAACTTTTCGTTTAACAGCCCTGAATAATTCTGTTGATGAGACTCAAAAAGTTGAAACTGGTACAGAATTTACCTGGTTAAACAAATACTGCTGAAAACATTGGTCCAAAATGCACATACATTGATGGAATAAATATTATTTAATGTTAATGTGAAGTGATAGATACTTGTTATTCTTACTCCCAATCCACATGAGTTGAATTGAGTTTTCCTTATTGAGAATGTTTCACGTTTAAACTAAACTCTTTTTTTATTTTACGAGGTAAGGCCCACTGAGCTATGTAGCTCTTTTTCAGAAGCGACCTGGCCACAAATGATAGCTCAACGAAGTGGTTATCATGTGGAAATTTATAGCAGCCAACTACTTTAACACGCATGTTTCTAAATGTGGAGGGAAAAACCGGAAGACCCGGAGAAAAATGCACACGACCATGGGGACAACATGCAAACTCCAAATATACAGGCATCAGGGTTGGGATCGAACCCACGACCTGCACTATCAGGCAAGCCAATTATCATCTCTCACCGCAAGAGCCCACGGACATATATGAGAATCTCCTTCATATACAGCTTCATCAATATACAGTACAGACGCTGCCAAACAGATACACTGAAATATTGCATCCTGTTATATATCTTTGCTTCACGTTGACCAACGGAATTTTGGTCAAATAATCCATTAATGAGCCAGTTCTTTGTTTAATTGTAATTGATATATTTTGCCTGTGGCTGAATCCATGTGTAGGGTACAGCACCACTAAAAAAACACAACTGTAACCTAGCCCCAGGTCATAGTACAGGGGCATTGGCTTAGTTGATATCAGTGGTTAAACAAACCATCAGAGTACAGGGGACTTGAGAATATAATGTCCCCACAATGTTCCCATTCCCAAAGCACACAGTCCCGGCAGTGGCGACTGCAATCGTCAATAAATGACAATTAGTGAAAACACGCGTGTCCATTCAAGTCAAATTCTAAATGTGTCTCTGCACAATTGATTGTAGTGCAGTACTACATACTATTGGTGGCTCTCAGCCAGTAGTGGAGATTACATATTCATATGAGAGGGGCCGGTCATTTCATGAATTAGCCACTGTTGACTTTCCACGTAGATAGGAGTGTATTAACCCCAGAGGGAAAATGGGCTCGACTGAATCTTGACTGGGATTTTAACTCATAATCTTACAACTGTGAATGAAGCACTGTAACCACATCATACAATGGCAGGAAGAATACAACATATAGCTTATAAGGCATATTTTGATGTCTAAAGTGAATTCTGTACATATATCCAGTGCCCTTGTACAACTTCATCGAGATTGTCTGTCCCTATATATATGTACTATTTTAATCTAATACGATCAATTGAACGTATTAATAATCAGTATAACACATCTTCAAAAGTCAGCAAACCTAACTCTATCTTAATTAAACTTTCAATGCAATGTTTGTTCCCATTAATCTTTCCTGGAACGTAATTTCCTGAGCTTACAATGGGGTGACAAATCCAGGCACACGGGCGCACACGGGCACATATGGTCCTACCTAATTGGCAAATAAAACGTATTGCATGCCACCGTTGCCCCACTTGTGCTACATAGAAAAGTGAGGTTGCTGGAAACTTTTACAAGCTCGATATTCTTTAGTTTTTTTTATTAAAGCAACAAAACAAATTCAAAGTTGCTCCCCTTCTCAAGTAACTACTGGGGGAGGGGCAGAGCTCATCTTAGCAGCCTCAGCCAGTGGTAGAATTACACGTTCCTATGTCAGCTGAGGTAAAGTCTTTAATTTGACCGAAACATTTCAGAAAACATGCTATACCAAACACATGCCGCCTGGTTTAATCGCGAAGTTATTTTTGAACGTGTGAAACTATTGTGAATAACACAGTGCTTTGATAACAATACATTTGACACAATGCATAGCACAACGAGTGGGTAGAAGTAAAATGTGTCTTCCAAAATGTGATAACAAATAAGTTAAAGTTTCAGAGAGTGTTACTTTGAGATGTTATCATTAAATTTTAGCCATTGTAGTTAATTTTAGTGAAATATACGACTCAATACACCTCGGATCTAAATCCCACCAAAGAGTACATCCAGTTCACTTTTACAACTGAGATTTTATTTGGGCATAAAGTATAGTTCGTCCCACATGGCAGCATTTAGAACAGATGAGGGAAATCTGCTGCAGAAAATATTCAATTTCTATGCACCGCATGTGGTGAAGAACATAACTCTGAACACAATAGAAGCAACTACCTGCAATCAATGCACCTGGTGTGAAGGCATAGCGGAGGATCAATGTTGTCTCCCATCTACACTACTCCCTCTCATGCCGATTAGGAAAGTAGCTGTACCACTGCATTGGACAGCAGGCATGCTGGGACGCCGGGCAGTTATCATAAGAAAGGAATGCACTTAAGAACATATAAAAGATAATAGGCTTTTCCCCTTTAATCTGGCAACAAAACAGGTGTTAAGATTTTGACTTAAAGCTGTCGTGACTGCAGGAAATCATACTCTTTGGGTCTTTCGGTAAAGTCACGTAGATAGAAAAACAATAAAAAATCATGACATTTCGATCGCATTCTGACCACAAGCATTGTGGTTAATGTAGACATGATTCCTTGTGAAAGGTTTCAGTTTGGTGTTTTAACATCCTAACACCTGTTTTGTTGCCAGATAAAAGGTGAAAAACCTATTATCATAATTTGGTACTGGCAAAGGAGGTCCATTTGATGAAACATATAAAAGCATACAAAGTTAGGGAAAGGGATGCATTTGCACAGATTTTTAAGTAGCAGTCACAGAAATCTGCGGAAAGGCCATCTGTCTGCAGCTGAGAGAGAGAGAGCAATGCTCCACACCAGCAGTGGTGGTCTAGCCCACTGAGGGCCCTAACCAGAAATTATTTTCTGAGCGAATTATATGATCACACACATTATTTGCCGGACAAATTTCATCACTAAGTTTGCATCACAGTTGCATAAAATAATGGAGCCAATGTACTAATTAATAGCAATTTCAATCATTTTAAATATCATGATAATGAGCTGATATTTGGGGCATGCCTAATAATTTTTTTTTATAAATCTGAGGCCCCTTGAGCAATTGGGGGCTTTGCACTTTTGATTAGCTCACGTATGCCTAGCGCCACCACTGTTCTAAATTAACTGCTATGGAGAGAAATAACAAAACATTAAGTTGCATTTGGTGGTTACGTGTTGAACAGAGCATGCTAGTGTGGGAGACAGTGGCATCACATCCAGGCATTCAGAAACAGAGGGTAAGACCAAAAGCCAGGTTATAATGATTTCAACTTATCATGCTCTGCACAGTATTCCCTCAATGTCAAACAAAGATAATGACTCAGAGGTGCAAGGGACCACGGACAAGTGGGAAAAGCAACAATGCGGTGAGCTTGTCGCAAATCTCCTGCAAGCTCTGCAGTCCTCTAGATATTAAGGTGTTATTGGTCAATGAATGAGCATTTACACGTTGAAGAAAACTGCAGCACCCAGAAGTTTCCCAGAAGGGACAGGTGGAGTCCACATTTTATGTATCGCCTTGTCGAGGCAATCCAGGGTATGGCACCTTCATGTCCACGGGAAGGGAGTTTCACAACATGTTTGTGACCCACCAACCCTCGACGCCAGAGTGCTGGATTACAAGCATGTTCCACCGCCACCCGGCTATTGGTGGATATTCTAATAGATTTGTTATCACTTCTGCACCAGCTGTGGGATCTAGCAGATAGAAGGTCGTGATGATGCGATGTGATGACACCTCTTCACCCTGACGTTGCAGTGGCTCATGCCTCTAATCCACCAAATTCGAAATCGGGTTGGTGTACCACTCAGAGATAGGTGTTTCAAATGGTGGGTTGTGTTAATTTGTTATTTAGACATACTGGAAGCTTTGACATATGCCATTATTCAACTGGTGTAGCACAATTTATATACATTGTACACAGTGATACCAGTAAAAAAAAAACATTAATATAATTCAATGAGTAAATGTACAAATTGTGCACGTTTCATTCAAACAATCTATGCAGGGTGGCTTTTGGCTATTTAACACAATTTAACACAATTTATAGAACAGAGTATTACGAATGAAGATTAAGAGAGATGGAGGCAAATTGAGACACCCAGTGGCCTATGTCCAAAATAACCTAGAGAACGTAGGATTTCAATCGGTTGTCTGCCCCTCCTTTGCCCCTCCTTATCTTTGGATGAGAAAGGTGAGAGGCACATAACAAGGCTTTATGAAAATTACGTTCCTCCACCTTATTGATAAGTTACCCTTCCAATGGACATCAAAGTGGTACAATAAGAGTGATTATATGTGTGCAAATTATCGCCAAAGTGTCAAGAGGCAATTTTGGGTTCTAATAACAATAAATAGACGAATGTATACAAGCTGTCATCCTTGCAGGGTTGTCTATTGAAGAATGCTAGAAAAGGCTTATTCAGCTGTTAGAAAAGCAGAAACATCAGCACTGATATCGATTTTCTCCTTCTCAAGGCCATTACGGTCAAACGCTGCTTGGTGGCTACTTGTTTTAAAGCCCAGATCGTATATAAACAAGTACAGTGTTTGCAATAGCATGCTAGCACTTAAAAATGCCTGCTTTCTCCAATGACAAATTTTATAATCACCTTCAAGACTCTTGTGGATACAGGGAATGACAAACAGCAATTTGATATGCCCTCATTGAAGCTTCGATTCGACACAAAACATCCGAGATGGCAGATCTCATGCACCACAAACAGCACCGCCTATGTCACACACACAACGCAGATGTTAATAAAGATCTCTGACAAGTTCGACGAAGTTGTGTTTGTAACTGCACGGTATTAAACATTTTAACTCTCTAACCATGTGATTGTTTACCAAAGCCAAAGCGTCAACCGATATGAATATAGAATTTAATTAAAATGTTCACCCACCATCGATATCTTCAAGGGTGTCTGGGTCGACTTCAAATGAAGAGTTGTTTCCCATCGGGGAGAGAGCAGAAGTTAACAGAGTGAAGAAGCGCATTAAATTCATTTTTCAGCACTCCTATTCTCCCGCAAAAAATGCTGTGAAGGATTGTTTTTCCGCTCAAACGCTGACCCACTCGAAACAAACAGCACCATTCACAGTTCAAACGTCACAGTGAAAGTTCACCGGGTGAAGCATTCCATCGTGTCACATGGTCCATTATGCAATATTCGTAGATTGTTTCTATTTTCCTTCAGAAGCAACTTTGTTATTGTTGAAATGTTCCCCGGATTAACACAATCTCAAAATCCACTGGTAAACATGCTTTGAAGCGTATTTATGGGGGGTACATTTAATATAATGAAAAAAGTTATTTACATTACATTCATGAAATCACGAATATTTGTTTGTTTTTCTGCGACAGAGAACATTTATTTTAAACAGGATATTATTTGGATCTTTCGGTAAAGTCACGTCGATGGAACAATAAAATAATAAAAATTTATAAAAATAAAGTGAATAAAAAATAATACAAATATCACAAAGTTTCGATCACAACACAAGCAATCGTCATTTATTTTCTTCCTGGTGACGAACGCTTGTGTTGCGATCGAAATATCATAGTATTTTGTTATTTTCTTTGAAACTATCTACATGACTTTACCGAAAGACCCAAAGAATACGAATCTTCACTTTATTTTCGTAATTTTATTGTTATTCTTTTTTTTTATATCTATGTGACTTTACCGAAAGAACCATAGAATATTATCAGATCATGTTTGTTTGCATTTTCGCCACAAATACGTGTGGTTAATGCAGACTTGATTCCTTGAAAAATGTATCTATTTGGTGTTTGAACATCACCGTTGCATTTCCAGAAAGGGTATAACCTATTATTATTTCTCATCACATGATCTCTAAGCCCAGTTTACAACAGAAGACATATATTGGGAAAGCTATACCTTTCTGGGCTTTTACAAGGGTAAAGCCACTGAATCCATGAAAGTGTCACAGTGGCTAGCAATGTTGACCACTAGGGCTATTGAGCAGTCCGTGAGTGGTTTAGTAGAAAGGGCAGGGGTTCACAGTGTTGTGACTACCCATTTTTCTGCAAACATCGCTGTCGTTGATACAGCATATGGAAAATTCAGCAACAGCCTCTATAAAAGGTTACTTTCAGAAATGCAGATGGCATTGTGTTGGAGTTGCGAGTTGTTCCAAAGCGGTAACGCGAAGCATCTGTACATCGCATATGGTATGCGACATCAGGTGTTCTGCATTGAACTTTGAAACATGACTGTGACAGGCAACAACTGACACAGCACAAAGTTCTACAATTCCACACGGGAGTGTGGCTCTTTATATGACTCTCCCGGGTAATGGCCAGGTATCAAAATGGCAATTCAAAGAAAGCTCAGCAAATGCACAAAAGCTGAGTTTTCAGCAAGAAAACTGACGGCCGACGACGGAAATTAAGCCTGTCACAAAATGTAAGGGACATGAATAGTGAGAGTTGAATGCCAAATTTTAGCTCGTGCAGACAGCTGGGTCATTCCCAGGGTCTGTTAAGCTGCATGACTACATGGCTGGAATAGAGATATTTGCATGGTTTGCCAGACTGAGGGAAGGAATGCAGGAAATTGATTAACCTCTTGCTATTCTTGTTTATAATTGCTGTAACTTTAATTCGCTACTTCACCTTCATCAGCGTTATGCTTGACTATAAACTATAGTTATAGGACTGTTGCAGATAATTATAACGTGATATAACCATGAGATAATTACATTTCGATTTAAAGCTTTCGTGACTGCAGGGATTCATCTTCTTGGTTATTTCGGTAAAGTCACGTAGAAGGGAAGTAATAAAATAATAAAACATAATAAAACAATTCTCACGACGTTTCGGCCACAACGCAAGCAGCCGTCCTCAGGTGAAAACCAGGTCTGTCGAGGCGACAGCATCTGAATGAAACAGCACACGTGCTTGGAGCATATATATAAGCTGGGTTGGAAGGGGGGAAAAGAGCGCCTTGACAAAAGAATATGCATATCAAGAGGCATTTAGCATATTTATGGTAAATGCAGGTATGTAAGTAGTACTACTCATGCCCGTGCATTATGCAGGATTTGCAGCATCAAAGGGAAGGGATATGGGAAATGCAGGTATGTGATTAGTACTACTTATGCCCGTGCATTATGCAGGATTAGCAGCATCAAAGGGAGGGAGATAGGGGTAGCATTAATAAAGGGAAGGAGTTTCGATTTAAATCTTTCGTGACTGCAGGGATTCATCTTCTTGGTTCTTTCGGTAAAGTCACGTAGAAGGGAAGTTATAAAATAATAAAAATAAATAAAACACAATATATAAAGTTTAGATGGAAGCATATTATATATATTTTACGACGTAGAATTGTAATGTATTACTTACTGTTAGTAACTCAGCTTATTGTAGAGTATATTTAGTATACTGATGATACTATGTAGTTTATACTTTAGTTGTTTACGTGGTAGTTTTAGTTACTGCAGCTACATACTATTAACACTCCTTCCCTTTATTAATGCTACCCCTATCCCCTCCCTTTGATGCTGCTAATCCTGCATAATGCACGGGCATGAGTAGTACTAATCACATACCTGCATTTCCCATAAATATGCTAAACGCCTCTTGATATGCATATTCTTTTGTCAAGGCGCTCTTTTCCCCCATTCCAACCCAGCTTATATATATGCTCCAAGCACGTGTGCTGTTTCATTCAGACGCTGTCGCCTCGACAGACCTGGTTTTCACCAGAGGACGGCTGCTTGCATTGTGGCCGAAACGTCGTGAGAATTGTTTTATTATGTTTTATTTGTATTATTTTATTATTTCCCTTCTACGTGACTTTACCGAAAGAACCAAGAAGATAATTACATTTATTAAATTATATCTTCCTCTGAGTGCTCACCGTATCGGTTCACAGTGACGTGTTTTACCAGTACTATTCCTCTAAAATAATCTCGTAGAGTTTTTTAAAATCTAATTAAATTTTTCGTCATTGTGGCATGGGTTGATCATCTTAGCGAGACGCGTCTGTGGGACAATCTGACTCACGCAGTGGACTAGCTTCACGAATTTATTAAATATAAAACAACAGCATTGACACTATGGGAACCTCATTTGCCAGTAAAAATGATAATTGGTTTTTTACCCTTCTATCTGGAAACAAAACTGACACCTTTTTACAAGGAGTCATGTTTGCATAGACCGCAATACCTGCAGTCATAATACAAACAAAAGAACATAACTCTGATGTGCACTGTCCTTGAAGTTGATTGGTCCACACCCGAGACAGCTTTCCTTAAAGCCTTTTGGCGTCATCTGGTCCAACCCATGTGAGACTAGGCTTTAAGGAAAGCTGTCTCGGGTGTGAACCAATCAACTTCAAGGACAGTGCACATTATCAGAGTTATGTTCTTTTGTCTGTATTATGACTGCAGGTATTGCGGTCTATGCAAACATGACTCCTTGTAAAAAGGTGTCAGTTTGACAGTTTTGTTGCCAGATAGAAGGGTAAAAAACCAATTATCAACAGCATTGACAGTTTAGTTTGTTACAGCACAAAACTGTAACCGAAACAGTCAACACAGAACACGCAGAGGCAGCAACTAACGCACACACGGCTTCACACAGCTTCTGTATGTATCATATATATTTTTAAATAATCCTAATATGAAGCGTGGCATTTTAACGGACTTCCTATCCTTTGTGCAAACCCGCAGCCTCACCATTCCCAGTTAACAATTCTGTCTATTCTAAGCAGGTATGCGAGTAGTGTGAATACACCGCCCGTTTAGGCGTTGATAAGACGCCACATACGCAGGCAGACAGATTTCTCCATGCAGCCTCCTCCTCTGTAGCCCAGAGACAAAATGATCGTCCTCTCCCACTTAAATCCCCCTCATAGTCCCATGATTTATCGCGCGCCCCGGTATTCCTGATTGGTTGGTACCTGTGACGTCATGACGTCATGGGCAAAGGCGTCACAGCCGTAATGGACGTGATGACGTCAACGCCTCACAAACGTGAGGACCCGTGCTCTACACAGCCCACAAAGATGTGAGTCCTGAGTTCCCGTGTGCTCAGGCATCATCGAACCACAACCACAGCTCCAAGAACTGAGCCAGGAACCAGGGGTCACCCCTCCCCCCAGCTCCACTTCCCCCTGCCACCCCCTTTTCTTATTTTAGAAGTACAGTAGAACCTCTGGTCACGAACGCTTCTGACCACGACCAAATCGGGTTACGACCAAAAAATTAACAACATTTTTTAATCTGGTCACGAACACAAACTCGGGTGACGATCAAACACGGCCGCGGCCGATTTCCCCTTCCGCGCCATATATATTACATTTAGTTTACTATATTATATATATAACTTTTGTTATATAAAATTCCTAGTAAGATATTCATTTTGTGAGTGTAGTCATACCCCTCCCCCCTCATTCAAGCCGTAATTTAGAGAGCGAAAGCGCTGAGTACGTAAATCGCTAACATAAGAACCCGTTAATCTCTTCTCGCATCATTCATACGATGATGCGGTGAAGTAAACGTTCATACGATATTACGGTGAATGCTTCCAAAAACAATACTGTACCCAAATATTACTGTTAACTTACTTTCAATAGAAACATGAATTGCTCATACGAATATTCTCTCTCTCTCTCTCAGAATCGACCGACTGATGTAGCAGACGAAACAATCATCTTGTTGAACGATTCTAAACCTTGATGCGACAATGTTAGTTTTCTCTGTTGTTCAAGGTTTTCTCAGTGTTATTCAATGTTTTTACATTTACTTTACTATTACACTGTGAATTATATGGCATAATTAACTATTTTTGTGCTTAAAAATCTTTAAAAAAATAATATTTATATACAGTTCGTAGGAGTCTGGAACGGATTAATCGTATTTACATACAATCCAATGGGGAAATTAGGTTCGAGTCACGACCAAATCGGGTTGCGACCAAAGTTATGGAACGAATTATGGTCGTGACCAAAGGTTCTACTGTATCTGGCGTTGCCCGGGCGAAAAAGACACACACACACATCGCCATACACACAACAACAACCGCCATTGGCCACTAA